GGCCACATGTGGCCTGCTGCAGAGGTGGGTTTCTGCCAATGTTACTGCTGTCCATGTTCTGCCACTAAGAAGTCTAGTGGAGGGTTGTCAAACTCAAGGCCCACAGGCCAAAGGTGGGTTGCTACCGGTTCACACTGGTTTGGGAGAACCAGTAGTGGAAATTGCAACTGGGTTGCCAAACCGGTAGGGATGGCAGGCTGGCCACCCCCCCAAACCAGTTCCCTGGTCACTGCCGCATGTTTTTGTGACATTTTTAATGTTCTGCGCATGCACAGACCTATTTACAGGCAACTGCGCATGCACTCAGAGTGCATGTCAGGAGCGAACCGAACCAGCAGTAACATTGGCAGAAACCCACCTCTGCAGCAGGCCACATGTGGCCCGCAGGGTGTTTAATTCTGGCCTGCAGAGCAGTTGTGGAAAGGACCATCCCACAGTGCCACTGCCAGCAAAAATGGAGGTTCGGAGGCCACACACCACCACAGGCCTCGTTTTCAGCCTGGACAGCCTCCAGCCCTCTGTCAGCAAAAATGGAAGCTGAAGGGCCATGTTCCCCCCCCCCCAGCTCAATTTTCGCTGGCAGAGGGTTTTGGGAGGCCCTCTTCATCCCGTCTGAAAATGAGGCTGGGGGGGGCGAGCACATGCCCCCCCCCCAGCTCTGTTTTCAGTGGCAAACGGTTAGCAGAACAAAAAACAAAACAAGGAGAAATGTTTCCCCATTGCACTTGCACATCAAAGAAGGGACAGGAAAGGGAAAGAGAAAGAAAAAGAAGGAAAGTGGGAAGAGAGCAAGGAAGGAAAAATAAGGAAGGGAAAAAGGGGGAAGGAAGGAAGTCCTGTCTTAGCACTTGGCCACCAGCAGACGTTGAGGCTCCTCTGGAGGAGAAGGGTTTGGCGCTCCATGGTCTTGCCTTCCTCCGCTGGAGACAGGCGCCCAACCCCACCCAGGCCACCACAGGCGCCCCTGACATGAGTAATGTTGAGCTGGCCATGCCCATCCCCGCCATGTCACGCCTCCCCCCCCCCCCTTCCCCATGTTAAAGACAACCTTGATTAGGGCTGAAATTGAGTTTGACACCCCTTGTCTAACATACAGCTACGGAAACTGCGTATTAAAAAAGAGAAAGGCTCAAAGCTTTTGAACCGTGATTTGAAATTCATTGTTTGGACTGTTATGCTCTGCAGCAGGTATTCTTAGAGCAGCGTTTCTCAACTTTAAACTGAGTGGGCTTCACCTCCCAGCATTCCCCAACCAGCGCATCCTAGAGTAGAGGTCTTCAAACAGAGTTTGAGCAGAGCTGCCTGGAGAATGCTGGGAGTTGAAGTCCACAACTCCCAAGTCTTAAAATTTCCAAGTTTGAAGACCACAGTCCTAAAGCAATTTAGGCTGCTGGGTCCTATGAGGGGATTCTCAGGAAGGGGAAGGTGGGGGCTGTGGGTGAGTGGGATACTCAGTCGGAGAAGAACCTGGCTGAGGTGGATAGATGGTGAGGAGGATATCAGGAAATCCAGAGTTCTCCCTTCGGACTCCTACTCGGCTCGGCATTTATCCAGAGACACCAGGAGTTGAGACTTGAGTCAATGATACGTAATCCTTTTGTTTTGAGGAAATGCAGAGCTTTCTTGTTAATCTCGAATTGGTATAAACCTTTTGAGTTTTCAGTATATTGGGATGAACTATATTCATTCTGTTAAGTAATTTGAGTGGCTGTGATCCCTAACTATCGGAGCCGGAACACATGGCTCTTTTGGTACAGGTAATCATCAACTTATGATTATAACGGAGCCCAGTTTCTGTTGCTAAGCAAGACAGTTAAGTGAATTTTGCCTCATTTTACAACCTTTCTTGCCATAGCTGTTAAGTAGATTTTTTTAAAGTAGCTGTTAACCAATTTCCTTGTACACGTGATGTATAATGACGATCACTGCACTTTAGTAGCACGTTTGTTAAGGGAATCCGTCTTCCCCACTAACCTTGCTGGTCAGAAGATTGCAAAAGGAGATCCCATAACCCCGAGGACACTGCAATGGTCGTAAATAGGAGTCAGTTGCCAAGCGCCTGAACTTTGATTACATGATCACAGGGATGCGGCAACTCTTATGAAAGTCATAAATCCCCTTTTCAGCACCTTTGTAACTTCAGTCACTAAATGAACTATTTGTAAGTCAAAGACTAGCCGCCCTGGCAGTTTGCATTTCCTTCCAAGTGAAGGAACTCTGACTCCATTTGTCCTTGCCTTCTCGGGAGAGAGGAACCGACCAAAGGTCACCCAGGCAGGGCTGGACCTGCAGCTCTCTCTTGGTCTTCAGGGCCTAAATTCTGCCTTTGCTGGTGCAACAAAGAAAAGCCCACATCAGGAGTCCTTCTGCAGAGGTGGAAAGGCTTAAGTCGGTGACAGGTATTTTAACCCACGTTTCCAAGTATGCAAAAGTTGACATCATCGCTCATTAGAGGTTTTGCTATGATGGGTAGTACTTTGCAGTTGATCTGGAAACAGCATTATGCCGTGTCCCTTGGAAGCCCCTTACCCATTAATTTTCAGAATGTCGCCCTTCTCAAAAAAAGGCTTCAGCAAGGCTTGCGTCCCCCAGATCAGGCTGAGGTTTGGGGAAGAAGGGCCCTTTGCAAACACACATTAGCCTTTAAAATTAAACCCTCTAAAACTGGCAATTGTGTTCATTTTGGGGAGTTTCTAAGCAGCAAGATGGCTGTCTTGAGCCTTTGAAACTAAGACAGCTCCTTGTTCAGTTAAAATAACCATTGTTCAGAAAAGACCAAACGGAGATTCAGTGCGCTCTGGCGTCCTTCAAAGGGGCTGGAAGGAAACTGGGCCTGGAGGAGCCGCTTGAGCCCATTTTGCCTGCGGGGCCCCTCCAGTAGCCTTTGGTGGGGGAGGGAAGAGTCCAAAAGTCCCAACCACACTTGGGCCCTGCCCTTCTGCAGGAGTGGCACACACAGCGGGTTTTTAAAAGAGCAGCATTTGTACCATAATGCCCACCATCTTCACTTTTTTGACCCCCTTCCTCTCACAGTCTTGCAGCCTGATGGTGCTGGCATCTCGTGGCCCTTGGCACCCACTCTTCCTTTCTCCCCATCCGAGGTACCCAACATGCCCTTCCTCCCCTCACATCACAGGAAAGAAGAGTCAGCAAGCAAGCTTTTAATCAGTCATTTTACAAATGCACATTCATCTTTTTTTAAAACAGAATTGACCATTTTTTTAAAAAAAAAGCAACCTGTCCATTTCCCCACCACAGTGAAAATCAAATCAACAGACTCCAAGGTTTTCCAAGGTGGAGAGAGTAGCTCCGGCTGTCCAAGAAGAGAAAAAGCAAAGCCAAAGGGGAGGGGGATTGGGTGGGTGGGAGAGAGACAAAACCAGGCAGAGCTTTTTGGTCTCCTTTGAGGCTGTAAGCCCCTTCCCCCTGCTGGCTCTCCAGAGAGCAGCCAAAGGCAAGATGGTGCTGCGACCACCTTCTCCATCTTTCTCCCCTCTGCCCTTGGCATGTCGGCCGAAGAAGAGAGCTCCGGATTTGCACCAGCAATGTCCCTGGTGCAAACTTAAAACCCTGACCTCCTTGAGGATGGTGGCAAGCCTCCCACAGGGTGCCCCGGGACTGAGGGCCTGGGGGGGAGCATTTGCCACTGCAGGCACGTGTGGTTGTTTGGGAAGGAAAGGAGGGCACTAGTCTCAGTGCCCCCTTTGCCCTTCTACAAAGGGTCCCCCCGAGTCAGCACCATTTGCTACCATCTCAGTTGACCAGGTCGACTCTTGATGCAGCTAATCATTACTTAGAAAACTATGCCCAGCCCTGTTCCTGACATTCTGGCAGGAGGCCACAAAACAACCCTGGTCCACAGCTGCTTCTGCCGAGCTCTCCGTAATTCCCATCCTCCCCAGTCAGTATGGCTCAACCATGGGCGTTGCAAGTGATCTGGACGCTGGAGGGCTCCTGTGATGCTGGAGCTGTCCTCGGTACCACAAAGACCTCCAGAATCAGCCACTGCTGGCCATGCTTGGTGGGGGAGAGAAGCCCCAAGGACACCGCAGACCCTCCTGGCCAGATCAGGACACCCTGAGTCACACACACACACACACACACACACGAGGGTTTCTGCATCCAGGTTTCCCCTTCAGTCTGGATGGAACGCCCCCGCCACCACCTCCCCAGCTCCTAGGAAGAGCTGCCTGTCTACATGCCCAACCCAGCCCCTCCACAGAAGGGTGTGTAAATCAGATCCAATGGCTCTGCAGCTTTGTGCCCATTGGGGGGGGCAAGTTCCCCACAAATAAAACACAAGTGGAGGCGCCCT